AGCTGGTGGAAATCGGTGTAGTTCCGTTGTTGTGAACAGCTGCACTGATCTACACCAGGAAGATCTCAGTAGCACTTATTCTATGTACAGTTAGATACCAGGGTTACTACAAGATCCCTCATACGGGGAATGTGCGCGTAATGGCGTCCACTGTGTGCAGAGTGGGTTTGTTTGGGTGTTGCTCGTTTCAGATTGTTTTGTGTGTGTGTTTCTGTTTTACGGCACTTTGATACACATATGGAGCCGGTAATCTGTGCATTTGCCTATCCGAACTGGGTGACTGTGTCCACAAACGGCTGCTGGTGTGTGCAATTACCTGTGCATGTGTATGAACTCGTGTGTTCTCAGTGGTAGATAGATTTTGTGTGCACGCACCAGCGCACGCATGACCTAAGCCACATTGTTTGAAAAGTTTGCCTCCAAGTCCACATTGTCTCCCTGTGGGAGTAAAACATAGAATAGAATATCAGGGTTGGAAGGGACCTCCAGAGATCATCTAGTCCAACCCCCTGCTCAAAGCAGGACCAATCCCCAGACAGATTTTTACCCCAGTTCCTTAAATGGCCCCCCTCAAGGATTGAACTCTCAACCCTGGGTTTAGCAGGGCAATGCTCAAACCACTGAGCTATCCCCCCCAACATTTGGATGGCAATTTTGGCCTTGATGCTCATTACCACCAAGGCCCCTTTACCCCACGCTGGCAGTGTAAAAAGGGGCCGTTAGTGCAAATGACATCAGGCCCTTTGAGATCAGCAACCCCCTATGGTCCGAGGTGCTGCCTGCAGCTCCAGGTTCGGTTAGCTCCAGGTTGGTAGCAATGCCAGCAGGGCGTTGGCCACTTCTCCAGATACCGCAGCTTTGCAGCACATCTATTTAAAACCAGGAAGCTTTTGAAATTGACATTTTAGCCCAGATTCTGCCCTCTGAGAGACGCAGGCAACTCCTACTCACTGAATCTTGCCACATAAACCTTTGTGACGTGCCTTTCGACTGGTTTTGCTCCTTTGCTGCTTCTGTTAAAACTCGCGTGTTAACTGCAAAAGCCGTTTTTAAAAGTATTATCTTTACCTCACGACTTGGTAATAATCAAAGGCTGAAACACTTATCGCAGAGCTCGGGGGGGTTGGGGGGAGGAGAGGGGCGTTGCGTCCTTTCTATTTATCAGTCATTTCTATATTTCATGTGCAGTTTCCATGCAGAAGAAACGGCGGCAGGGTGTCATTGTGACCTTTATCTTCACGAGCCAGGGGAATGACAGCTTGTACCTGTTCTGTAGCTATGATTAGTTCATGGAAAGAGTTCTAGACAGAGAGGTCAGGAACTGGAAATAGCCCAAACAAAGGTCCAGATCCTCAACTGATGTCAATGCCTGGAGAGCCATTGAAGTCAATGTCAGTATACGCTGGCTGAAGATCTGAACCACAGTTCTGTTCGGAGTTCTTTGGGGGTCCTCTCTCCTCTCCCCTCCTTCCCGCTCCCAGGGCCTTGATTAAAGAGCTCCCATCTCTCCTCTGAGCGGGAGTCAGCTGATGCCCACAAACTGTATTGGGGGTGCATTTTCCCAGTTAGATGCTGCCGTCCTTTGTGTCTTGCCCATCTGCTGGGAGTTGGCCTCAGAAACTTGCCATAGATCAGTCCAGGAGCAGCCAGAAAACAGGAAAAATCAGTTATAACACTGAGGGCCAGAACCTCAGCTGGTGTACATGGACCTACCTCCATTAGCTTCAAAGGAGCTGCACTGATTTACCCCCGCTGAGGATCTAGCCCTGTGTCATTGGCAGTTGCATTGCAGGGAAGGGAGTGGAGACCCTGTTAGGCTAACTATAAAACTTGGCCAGGAGAGGAGGATATTCTAATTCTGAGAGTCAGTGTGGCCAAGTGGGTAGTGCACTGAACTGAGACTTGGGAGAGCTGAAGCTCTAGGCCTGGCTTTGCTGCTGGGTGGCACTTGGGCCAGTTATGTCCCTGCTCTGTGCCTCAGTTTCCCCGTCTGTTAAAGGGGGATGATGGTACTGACTCCTTTTGTAAAGTGCTTTGAGATCTACAGATGAAAAGAGCTAGTTATAATAGGAGTTCTGACTGTAGCTTTTATCACTGCTGTTTTTTCAGAGCTTCACTGACTGCAATAGATTATGTGAATTTTGATATTTACCATCCTGGTGTATGTGTCTTTGCCATCTATGAAATTTCCAATTGCTAGTTGTGACTAGTGGGACCATATTTTATACCCTTATTATACTCTTTATTGTCATAAATACTGGACTCTCTGGTGGTAAGGTTTTCCATCAGGGTTCGAGTTTTGGATTTAAATCTCGTTGAGCCTTTAATTGAGCAGAAAAGTTTTAAAGTTGGTTGCGAGAGGGTTGGTTTATTGTTCTTGCTGGGGGTGTTTTTTCCCCAGGGCTGAAGTCTGCGTTGGTCCCTCCACCGTCTTGGTTTCATTCTCAGCGAGGAAGTGTTTTATTGTTGGAAGAAGTTCAGAAAGTAGCTGGAAGAACATACTGTAAACATGGAGCGAGTATATAAATCTGGATCCCATCCTGCTTCTGTTGAAGCCGATGGGAGCACTGCCATTGGCTTTACTGGGATGCGGAAAATCATGTCCAGGTTCCACTCATTAAAAGTCAATTCTCATGAAAAAGGAAACATATGGGGGCTTGTTCTGCAGCGAGGGGGGCCCCATGGATTTCAAAGGGAGGGTCATTCATGGAGTCACTCAGGATTAGCAATGACTCTGGACTATATTATTCCTCTTGCAGCCAATCATGGTTGGCCATGTATCAACAGAAACAGTGGCGTCACTTGCACTCATCAGGGTTTTAACTGCTTTTCTGCTTGGTTCTGCTAGATCATCAGCTGGACCTCGCTTCCAGGATTGCTGTATCTGTCCTGGATGCACAGGGCAACGCTGGCATATGTACTGCCTTCACGGCCCTGATATATTAGAGTCCGATTCAGTTCCATTGAAGTTAATGGATGTTAGATCCTGTCCTCAGCCAGCATGGAAGCTGGGGGGAAAAAACCACTTCTTAGAAACTTTGGTTTCAATGGGAGCTCGGTGCCTAAATATCTTTGAGGTTCTGAGCCATCTCCCCCCATTATCTGCCCTCTGTAATCATGCCTATTTATAACAGCACAAGTGTTATAATAGCACAGTGAGCATGGCATGGTACTTTAGAGTGGGAACGGCTAGGGCTCTTTGAGACGTCCCATCGGATTCAGGTACTAAAATCCTAATACCTGAATCCCTACCCGAGTAGGGCCCTACCAAATTCACGGCCATGAAAAACATGTCATGGACCATGAAAGCTGGTCTCCCCCACTGAAATCTGGCTGTAGCAGGGGAGAGCAGATTTCACAGCGCTGAGTGGCTGGAGAGCCCAGCTCTGAAGGCAGCGCTGACATCAGCAGCAGCACAGAAGTGAGGGTGGCCGGGTATGGTATTGACACCCTCACTTCTGTGCTGCTGTTGCCAGGGCGCTACCTTCAGAGCTGGGCTCCCCGTCAGCAGCCGCCGCTCTCCACCCAAGTCTGTTTCAAGGCCCTCCTTCCCCTAGGCTGGGTCAGGGACCTGCCCTAAGTGCTGGTCTCTTTCAGGCTATGAAATCCAAATGCCGTCACAGCTCCGGGCAGTGCCGGTAGCCGGGTGTGCATCTGCGTGGGTCAGGCTAAGCATTGTGGCTATTGCTCGGAATGAGACTGAGCCGAACTGGGGGATGGGGACGGGGTAATGGTGGGGAACCTCTAGCCAGAATGCGAGGAAGGGGTAGGGACGTGTTGTTTATTTCTTGGCGCCGTCCCTCCCACCCCCCCACCAGTCTTCACCAGGGAGCTGGCCAAATAACCCAGCCTGGCGTCAGACAGGTGGTGCTGATGTCCATGACACGTGCTTCCCTCCACATTCTCTCTAGTCTTGATGATAAGATGCTGAAAGGCTGTTTGAGCCGTTTGCTTTCAGTCACTCGTGGACGTGAGGATGTGCAATGGCTCCCCCTCCTGGGAAGGCCAGTTCTATAGCCAGCCTCGAGAGCAATCGTGAATTCTCGTTAAACAGCAGTGGGGCCACCTGACAATTCCTCCCCCAACACAGGCTAAGCCAATACATGCCCCCCCCCCGGAAGCGTTTCTGATCATGGTGGGGAATAGCGCCTTTAGGGACAGCCTGCAAACCTGTTCTTTCTTGCTAGGTCATTTCTCCTTTAGGCTTCTCAGATGAGAAACCCCAACCTTGGATACTCAAAAATGGGCTTAGGTGAGTGAGAAATGCGGAGGGATGTAAAAAGCTAGATACAAGCCCAAAATGTAAGGCTCAACGCCAGACTTCCCCAAAGCTGGGGTGTGTTTGGATCCAGGGGTTTGGTTTGGTTCTTGCTATCTTCAGCAGCAGAAAAATGGTAGCAAGGCAGAGCAAAAGCCATCTTGACTCAATATGGTAAGGAACCAGCAGAACTCGGTTAAGGATTCAAACCGGTATGCAGCCCTCTCTGAACCCAGCAGCCAGTTACACCTTCCAGCCGGGAGCCATTACAGCAGCAGAACGGGAAGCAGAGAGAGAGAGGGAGTTATTTTCTTAGCACATCATGGAAAAGAATAAAGTTCAGTATCTGAGGCCCGAGAGGCGTCGAGTCAAGTTCACTTCTTCCCTGGACACGGCAGGGAGCGGGGCAGTCATC